GAATAAATTCAGATTCCATCTCGGAAAAAATGGTTGTACTGGGTGTTAAAGGTCTTTTACTTTTATCCTCACACATGTTTTCTAAATGAGCAGTTGGATAATCTTCAGATCGCACTCTTGCGAGAATGACGGATTCTACATCTGCGTAATCAATTTTCTCTCTAGAATTGTACCGAAATCCAAAACTTTTTAATTTTGACATGCAGAAATAACACTGGTCAGATGCGTGTTCGGTACGTCGCGACGGGTCGAAGCCAAATTGTTGGTGCAACATATTTCATACTGTGTGTTATATCTTGCAATCCATGCAAACAACGGTAACAATAATCGCATAAAACCTCTAGTACATACCATAAGTTTGGTATATACGTCACCAAAAAATAGTCTTCAAAAGCTGTTACTACACTTTTTGTAATATTTCGCATATGGCTTGGAGGTGCAAATAAACCACATACATAACAAAAATTATTTCGATTCGGACACTGCATTTTTACTTTGATTTCAAATGGATGGTTAACTCAACAATCAAAATTAATATGAAACATTTATCGATTTATCGCTGCAATAATGTTTTTATTTAACATTTAAAAAAAAAGTATTACCCTCGTATAAAGATTGTTTTGAAAACAATGCTTTTTATGTATAAATGCCGCAGATGTGTAAATTTTTTGTTTTTTTGCTGTTTCAATTGACTTCGTATACTTAAATACTTTTTTTTACTTAAATTAAATATGTTTTAGGTACACTTGCTTTAAGACTTAAATCAATTCATTTAAATATCTTTTAATTTTTTTAAAAAATGTTAATTTAACAAAGCTCAATTTTTACAAAAAATTGAATAAATAAAAATTGTAATCACCCGACTTTAAATAATAATAATAATTATAATAATAATAATAATAATAATAATAATAATAATAATAATAATAATAATAATAATAATAATAATAATAATAATAATAATAATAATAATAATAATAATAATAATAATAATAATAATAATAATAATAATAATAATAATCTTTATTGATCCAAACGAAATACAACAGTATTTATAGGACAGGTCAGCATTTTGATTGGCTTAAAATTGAAACATTTTGTTACTTGGTTTAAAAATAAACCGTTTGATATATATATAAATGTGCAAAACTCTGTATAAAATTAAAATAATTTTAAAATGCATCTATAATGGTTGCCTATCCATTTAGTAAATATATATATTTTTAACTATGCAGTCCAGCTGTTATCGAGTCTATTAAATTATGTCGCGAATAGTGTGAATAACATTTTATTGGATAGCCCTTAAAAAAAAATTATGACCTGATGTGAAAAAACGCCGAGACACGGGTATCATTTTTTTAACTCTATTTTTAGAATCTGTAGAAATTTTTCATGGGAGGGACCAAAAATCAAATTTTGTCGTACTGTGTAATACTAGTTATTTAACCGTTTTTGCTACTTGGGTAGGTACATTTTGGTTTATAAGAACAATGGATGGTAAATTATGTAACGAATTTTAACAAAATATAAAACAACATAATTTACAAACATTTTAATAATTTTAAGTTTATATAATTATATATTCCTCTTACAAAACCAGGATAGCCCATAATAAAAATATTTTAATATAAGATTTAAAATCCAAGATGGTCGAGCAACGAGTTTCGGCGTTTTCATATGCATATGAAAACGCCGAAACTCGTTGCTCGACCATCTTGGATTTTGCTTAAATTTTATAGGAATATTCATTAGGGTCCCATAGGACAAAATCCACCCTTATTTATTTTTTCGCATATGTAAAATCCGGCCTATTCGAATTAAAACTTTTTAAAAACGTCATTTTTATGCTTTAATAATTTAAGCTGTAATTTTTTTTCTATTTTAAGAAATGAAAATGAAATAATGCGACTTTTTATTATTTCAATATTTTTCTGCTTTTAAAGTTACTGTATAACCTTTAAAAAAGAAAATAACAAACCAAACTACCAGGCATTTGAACATTAAGGTAGGGGCTAATTATCCTGTAAATTTCATAATTCTATTTGTAAGTCAACATCCTCATATATTGGCCTAAATAATGCGATTTTCTAGAATTTTAATATTTCAAGCAAATTTTTTTTTGGAAACCGTATGCCAAACGGGTCAATTGTAAGTTTTATTTTGTGTTTGGTATGTAAACTTAATATATACAAAAATAGCTGTTCATATTAAACAGCCGAGACATGGGACGCATTTAAAATACAAGAAAAATTTGTAAAATACACGTTTGAGTGAATTTAATTTTTTTTTTATAAAAACTACTATTTTTTAGATTTAAAATGACATCTTGAAATTTAAAATATCTTTAATAGAAAAAAATTACAGCTTAAATTATTAAAGCATAAAGATGCAGGGTCGTAACTAGGCTGGGGCCCCCGGGGTAGGGACCCCCAAACAGGGGACGTAAAAAATTATTTTAATTTCTTTCAGAAAAAAAAAATCCGTATAATTACCAAATCTTTTATCATAAATATTTGAGTTTTGATCAACCAAACATATTAAAAGGCGATCCTTATCCATTTTTTAACAATTTGCCTATAGATTCGTTCTTAAATTAATTAATTTATTTATTTATTTACATTTATTTTAAGAAGTGTGATTTTTAGTTTTGTTTTAAGAGAATTGATTTATTTACTTTAATTTGTTTTCAAGAGAATTATTTTATTTTAGTTTTTAAAGAGGATTTTTTATGTTTAAACGTTTTTTTTTATAAGAAATCACTTTTAGTTGAATGAAAAACAAATAATGATTTTACACCTTTAATTAATAATTTACTGTTAAAAGTGATTACGTTACATTTTAAGTATCTGAATAATTTTAAAAGTAAATTAACTTAACTCGACGGTGAAGGTTCTACTGCTGATTTACGAATACCATCTCTCCCTCCGAGTCTCAGCGTCCCCACTCTTAAAAATTATTCTCCCACTCTTAAAAACCGAATGCGGCCTGTCTAGAGGAAAAATGAAAATAACATAAAAAAGTCGTAGAAAAGTTCTGTCTACCGCAGACAGCCTGTATAATTTATAATTTTATAATTTTCGGTTTTACTTACAATATACACTAAAAACAAACAGTTACAATACAAATCTGCATTTGCATATAAAAATTATAAAAAGGACTTATAAAAGTGGCTCTGCAAAAAGGCAGGAAAAAAGGAGGAAAGATGCTGAAACAAGAAAAGGTTCTTATCGTATGTCTTGCTGGCTAACTCAGCAACTTACCGAAGATTCTGAATGCAATTAAGAAGAAAAAAGAAGTGAGAATTTTTTAAAATTTAAGGTACCTTAGTTTAGATAGTAATTTAAAGTTGTTAAATTTATATTAGTTATTTAATAGTTAAGGTACCTTAGTTTAGATAGTAATTTAAAGTTGTTAAATTTATATTAGTTATTTAATAGTTAAAGTAATACAAGTAAATAAATAAACCGTTCGGTAGGTATATCAGCTTAGCCCTGATCCGCTGACAGGGCTGCTGGTCGAGCGGAAACTAGTTATGTATTTTTAGTTATTTACACTAATACTACCCATTAGTGAAATATTGATTAGTTTGAATATTTACTAAAGGCCAAGTACCTATTAGGTTATAATTCGCGCATTTTATGAAGGGCACATGGAATACTGGTAGGTAATATTACAGAATACGGACATCTGACCAGCGCGCCGCAGCGGTGATAACATAACAGGGTCAATCTTGTAATAATGTACACTTTCTGAATACATTTTTTGAAAAAAAATGTTTCTTTTGTATATTTTTTATGTTCATAAAATTCTTTGATACAAATACTCTCATGCACTATGCTCCGCTAAGGTCTCAAAAAATTATTTCGAGGTTTTTTAACTAAAATAAAAATAAAAAGTCCACAGAAAAGTCCTTTTGATCTACGGAGGTGATTTTGGGTAAAATATTTTAAAAAATTTGAGAACATGTATGTCCAAATTACTACATAATGTAATGTATCAAGTTTATATAGGCCACTAAAGATAAAATAAAAAACACATACTACATAATGTAATGTATCAAGTTTATATAGGCCACTAAAGATAAAATAAAAAACACAGTAATTTAAATCGTTGTTTTTTATTTAAAATAAGTATAACCCACAGAAGTGACAAATATGTCCACGGAATGGACAAAACTAAAAGATAATGGTAACATAAGTCACACACTAATGCGAAACACTGGTATACCTAATGTTTTCTAGAACAAATTTTTAATATTATGTAAGTCTTGAGAACTAAAAATATACTGCTGTCGACTATTTACAGTTGGTTCACTTAAAGTAGCTATTAAATCAGAAGGATCGACAAAAGCAATGTCCTCTTGTTCTGGAAATATAAATTTATTTCCAATGCACCTTTTTAAAAACTTAACAAGAATATCTTCTTCTTTTTTATCACACACAAATCCGATAAAATATTTTTCTGTGTTTTTTAACCCAGAGACCCTAACTACAACGTAGCTATTGTTGATTTTAATATCTTCTCTGAAATTAATTTTTTGCATCGGTTCTTCTTCTTTTTCACTTTCTGAGTTTGATGTGTACACTTCCTCAACAGACAGTTTCTGAAGCGCTATTTAAGGAACAACTAAAATAAATGTTAAGAAAAAAGCATAGATTTTAGAAGAATAAAATATGAAATTAAATTTATTTTAAATATAAATGCATTATTTAAATATTTATTATATAAGGATACGATTTGACTCTCCAATTCTTATAACACCAATTTCGTAATGCTGATATTTTTCTCCTGCATAACATTGATAACAACTCAGTCTTCTGGCTCGCAGTTCGACTTTTCTAGTTGCTGACCAAGAGTTGGTGTATGTTAAAAGTTCCTTTAAAAGGAACTATTTTCACATTTTCAATATACTTCTGTATTAGATTAAAATTTTCATTAACTTTCAAAATATTGATTCCCTTGCAATTTTCCTTGAGAGGCAAGTGCATCTGTTGCCATTTTTACACACCCTCCAACACCATCCGGCGCTCCCTTGCCATGACCACTGGCACTATAATTCCAATGAAATGTCTCCACATTAATATGATGCGCCACATACTTGATAGCCAGTTGAAACATTGTTTTATTTTTGTATTGGATGGACCGTCACTTAAACAATAGGCAGTTTTTAAACCTGGTACAATTGTTTTAACTGTGTTCAAATTTGGTTCAAAATGAGCGCATATAGCCAGTGGATCATGTTTAAGATTTTCGGATAGGGTGCAGAAGCACTGATGTCCTTCATGATAATAAACCACTACAGTTTGAAGTGAAATTTGTTGTTTTGACCCCCCAAAATGTACCGATTGTATTTCTTCCCCATATTTACATTCATAGTTTTCACTAAAATCCACGTGTATCAGAATTTCTTCGCTTGTAAGATTTTGTTTTATATCAGTGATTGCCTTTTGCTGATGAGAAACAGTTAAACAGTGCTTCATGTAAGGTCCGATGGTGTTATTTAGTTCTTTCACCAGTTCAAGTTTTGTGCATGGTATGCTCTCCTTCAAAGTTTTGTGACACATCTTTTCTTGCCCTTTTATTAGAACTTGTATTTTTTTGTGGTCCATTTTTCAAAGGACATTACTTCATTTGGTGAAAAATCGGTGGTATTTATTTTTTTTGTAGGCAATTTGGGCATGATCTATCCATACATTCTTCTCTATATATTTCACAACATAAGGATTTGCTTAATTCATATGGAAAATTTGTACAAAGTAGTTGGTCAATTTTACATCTCTTAACCATATTCGTGTGAATTTTGCACAAACAGGTTGATCTCGACTTATAATTTGGAAATTTAATCCAAAATGGGCGAAGTGAACAAAACGTTGAGTAGGTAATTTTCTTTAATTGGGTATTCTTGATAAATTTTTCGTGAAGTCTTCTCATAGAATCATTCAAGTAACGAATCTGTTTTTTCACTTTTTTTCTAGTAATTTTCTCCTTTTTTCCAGCTGTAATTCTGCTATTTTCATCTTCTTCTAAAAACTCTACCACAGCTCTTCTTGCCGCAATAATTTTTCCGTTAGTTACTTGTTTTCTATAACTTAAAGTTCTTCTGGATGTCAAATTTTGCAACATTTTATTCAATTTAAACTTTTTAATCAAAGGACCATGCAAAACTTTCTTAAAAATAGTTTTGGTTTCCTTTTTAGAGATTTGTTTTTTGAGAACCTTCCCATGAAGAAGATTTTTCCTCACAGTTGGAGTGACACTTTGTCCAGCTATCATTTCTGATACCGTTTTTTCAGGAGTAGACATCTTTTTTACCATTATTTTCTTTAGTCTGTAATAACGGGTTTTGTATTTATTTTTTCTTGATTTAGCCTCATCTAGCATTTTAATCAAATCATTTTTCTCTTTTTTCCATTTCTCCCTATTTCTCCTAGCAATTTTTTTTCCGGAAGCAATTCTGCTAGTTGATGGAGGTGTACTGGGCAATTCAATCTCTCGTTCAGGAGTTGGCAGTGGAGAATTTCTTTGTAACATATCGTTAAGAAGCCGATTATTTTTTTCCTTCTGTCTATAACGCTTGGCTTTTTCCCTCCATTCCTTTCTTTTCGCTTTTTGGTCTCTTCGACTAAGATCTTTTATACCCATTACCAATCCTTCTTCCTTTTTCTTTCGGTATCTTTCTCTGTCCTTTTGTTTAATTTCTTCATGCTTGTCTCTATCTTGCTTTAGTTTTTCCCTAGCTCTTCTCATGCTAAGTTTTTTTTGCTCTCGCCTTTTTTCTAACTTTTCTTTATCACTTGGCATTTTAATCAGTAATTTAAATTAACAGAATGACGCAGTGAGTTTAATCGTAACTAAAAAAAAGAGAACACTAAATAAACTACTGGTTCGAATCATTTCTGTGGACACGTGTCACTTTCGTGGACACAGAAGGTCCACGGAAATGATGTCCACAGAAGTGAATATTTTACCGCCAATATTTATTTATCCGTTGTAAAATGTTAGGTTATGTGTTCTGGTTTCAAGAGAAGCAAGATTTTGTTACCATAACTTCATAAAAGCATAAAAATTATACGTTTTTTGTCGACTCCACAGAAGTGATCACGGCAGCTTAACATAATTAATATTGCAACATTTTTGTTACAAACAATGAAAAACCAAACACAACACGACGCTACTAGCAGAAAAACGAGATTCTTGAGGCAAACGCGCATTTAATCATGGCGACAGGAAGAACATTGTTGCCACTATTTACGAAATTTACTGGGTTATTGTGTTGTCCACGGAAATGATGCTTTACTTCGAATACAAACATTATAAAGCTTAAAAAATGGCACGTTCTGAAATAAATGTTTAAAAATAGCAAAAATATGGAGGCTGTTACTTATTAATATTAAGGAAAATTAGTTACTAAAAAATTAGTACAGCATATTATAATTAATTAATGTTGGAGAATCCCAAACGGTTACATCCACGGAAGTGATATTTGTGCGCATTTCTTAATTATTTTAACATGCTAGGCAGTAATTTGTAACGTGTCAAAAAGACTCTTAGTTTATTTTATGAAGTTGTTATTGTTTTGCTAATAAAACTAAAACTTATCGGCACTTTATTATTTAGTTTAATTTCCATACTTTACTTGCTGTACTACTTTTATTTTCTCTATTTTGGTTTATTTTCTTAACTTATAATATATTTTAAGTGGTATCGTACAGTATAATTTTTCTGTCCAACTTTTGGTTTTGCCGGTAATGCCTGGTTAGTTTTATGACTTTTTCTTTTCTTACTAAAATTGTTATTACATTTATTATTATTGTCTAGTTCTACTACTTAATTTACCTTGTTTGTCTTATGTTTTCTACCGTTGTTTTAAGGTACATTTTGCAGGGACCTCGGTTTCCACAAGACTCTTTTCGTTTCCTAAGAGATTGAGTTTGGTTTTAGGAATACCTTCGTTGAGTTATTATTTGTATTTGCCTTGGTTGTCTATATTTTATAATGGTATTTTGATGTAGCCATTTTCTGTTTACATCTTATCTGTCAAGTAATTCAGTGTTGCCAACGTTATTTTAATCGCACACCTAGATTTTATCTGTGGGTTGCATACTGTAAATTCAGTGTTGCCAACGTTAAAGTTATGTAACGTTCCTGCTGAGGTGACGCTTGGTTTGATTGACAATTGACCGTTGGCGTTAGGCTTGTGAGCGTGTGCAATAGGTGCTTTGAAGATTTGGTTTTATTTCCACCATCCGTTCTTAATTGCGGGATTTGTCTTCAGAGAAACCTTTATTGGATCCAGACCGTTATCGTTTTGGATTTTGTATTTTTGGTCTATGGATTTAGCGGATTCGTCCGGATTTAAAATGCACATGCTCTAGGTAAGCGTCTTTTGTCTATTTCATGGTTTTTTTTTTCTATCTAAGCCTATTTTAGTGATCAAGCCAGCGTCATTTCACACTACACCGCACATAACATCGTTGAATAAAATCCCACGGCTATAACTTGTCATCGTCGTACAATAATTTATTCAACCAGGTAGTACAAATAATTTCTTTGGTAGACCTATTCCATACCTTTATTTTTCTTTTTCAGGGTTTTTGTTTTGGTTTTGTTTTGTTTTTGGGTTTTCCTTTCCGAATTTTCATAACCCTATCAGTGTAAATTTTACACAACTTGGACACGACGGATTATCTCCCAGATATCCACCTTTATTGTGACCCTTGTTCCGGGGCAAACACTACCGCGAAGGTACCCGGACAAGCCTAGTTTTCTCCTGGATTTGACTACTGTGAGTTGGCCGAGGTAGGACTGAGATCGACGTCTGCCATCTCACCCATCACCCGATTAAGACACTTTCCCCGGATTTGACGACTACCCGATTGTGACAACGCCTGGCAGCAGGCTAAGTTTACCTATATTTTATTCTTTACTTTATTGTGTGGTATTTATACCGGAGTATATGTTATTTTGTTATATTAATATTTTTGTAAGGTTTGTTTTTCTGTGCCAAGGCTGACCAGCTTTTGCCCGTATAACCAGCTGCTGGTTGGTTTCGATCCAGACCAACGGCCAATTTATTTTTGATTTTCTTTATTTTTATTGGTCAGTATTGTTCGTTGTGTTGCGAACTGATTTGGTTAAGCGTGACCGTATAACCAGGTTTACCCAGATCGGATTGCAACCCTCGGGTTGCTAACCTTGTTACACCTACAAGCTTAACTTGTAGTGTCACCTCATTTTTGTTTTGCCCTGGTTGCCCTAAGCACCAGTTTTACTTAATTTTTGTTTTGCCCTGGTTGCCTTAAGCACCAGTGTTACTTAATTTTTGTTTTGCCCTGGTAGCCTTCAGCTACAGAGTGGTATTTTACTCGCAGAATATATAGATTGTTTTTGTAGTACGTAACTACCAAAAGGGTTGTAAACCCAAGTGATCACTTCAGTATTATTTTTGGTATTTATCCTAAACACAAGTTAATCACTTATTGCGTTATTTTAAATTATATATCAGTAATAAACCTTTAGTTATATCTATTTCGTGATTTTCTCTTTCTACGTTTTAAGGGCCACTTAAATCACGTGGCGCCTATGAACATCCCTTTATAACCCACACCCCTGAGCAACTATAGAGTCGGGCAGAGCCCTTAAAACTAGATATTACTTTAGATAGCGCCCACTGAAAAGTGAACCGTGACATGTTCCTAAAAAATCATTTGATATTAACAGAAAAATAATTTCATTTTCTTTTCTATATTTTCAAAACAAGGTGAAAACATCAAATTGTACACAATTTTAAGAATGACCCAACAGTCCCTTTAGATTTAACAAGTTTCAAGTAATCTAAAAATTAGAATGAAATTAAATTTTTCTTAACAGTACGTGTGAAATATTACAGACACTGAGATGGGCGCCAAAATAAATGAGATCATTGAAGATAATGAGAAAAATGCACAAGCCAGTAGCAGTACCAGTTCAATCACCTCAAATTCCACTTACGAAGTAAGAATTGCTTAAATCTGCTTGATTATTCTAATTGTTTTCTATTAACTATTTTTGTTAATTTCCGTAAAATGGAATTCCTTAGTCAATGAACAGAACTACGCTATGTTTATTTTAAACTATTTTATTAATGCATAATTTATTGTCATCTGATTTCATACCAATCATATTTTGTAATTATTTTGGAATTGGTTCGTGATTAATTGATCACTATTCGTATTTCATTGATTTAAAGGTTTTGCATGCTGCAACAATGGAATACCAATCTTCCATAATAGAGGGTGAGAAAGCGGGTTTTCCCATGACTATCAAGGACTCCGACTTGAAAAGAAAAATTATCTTGTCTGGAAGTCCAAGGAAGATGTTTTTCTAATAGTTATTATACTTTCATAACGAAATCAGGAATCAAATTAAATAGAAGCTGGTTATCCTATTCTGAGAAACTTGACTGTGTTTATTGTCACCCTTGTTGGTTGTTTCCACAGAAAGAAGCTCAAAACCCATTTAGCAATACTGGGATGCGGGACTGGAAACATTTATCGGAACGGATACAAATGCACGAAAACTCACAATCCCATGGAAATTCATGCATGATTTACGAGCAGTGGAAACATCACGAAGTAGTAGATGAAGCCCTAGAACAAAGTTTAAAAAACGAGCGTAATTTTTGGCGTAAAGTTTTAGAAATGGTAATTAATGTGTCATTAACCCTAGCTTTATGCAATCTTCCCTTTAGAGGAAAAAGCTCCACAAAGGGCAATTTTCTTTCCATAATAAATTTACTTTCAAATTATGACCCAGTACTTCACGAGTTGTTACAGAAACCACAGGGCACAGTAAAATATCTTAGCCCCCGAATCCAAAATAAAATAATTTCTTTGATGGTCAATGAGGTGCTTGATAAAATTACAAAAGATCTTCAAAATGCGCCATTCTTCTCCATTATAATGGACACAACACAAGACATAAGTAAAGTTGACCAACTAAGTGAGTTTTTTTGATTCGTAAAAATAGAGAAAGATGACGCCGGAAATCCAACTGAAATAAAAATCTATGAAACGTTTACATTATTTACAGAAGTAAAGGATCAATCCGCGTCTGGTTTTGAAACAAATCGTTCAATCAATCAAAAAGAAAGGTCTAGATATTAGTAAATGTAGAGGACAGGGTTATGACGGGGCTTCAGTGATGAGCGGGATTTATACGGGAGTGCAGAAAAGAATCCAAGACTTGGCACCTCATGCACATTTCGTGCACTATGCTAGTGATAACTTAAATTTAGTTCTGAAGGACGCTGTAGAGGGAAACCATGAAATACAACAATTTTTTGATACAGTGCAAAGTTTGTAAAATTTTTTTGGACATAGTATACTACGATGGCAAGAGCTACAAACATGCTATGAAAATAAATCCAACATCACACTTAAAACGCTGAATCCAACTCGTTGGTCTGGAAGGTACGATGCCATTTATGCACTGAAAGAGAGGTTTATTGACGTCCTTAAGGCTTTATCAAAAATAGTCTTAACGAGCAAAAAGCCAAGTGAACGTAATGAGGCAATAGGAATTAAGAAAAAAGTCGAATCATTCGACACACTGCATCCAAAACCCTACAATCAGAGATATTAGACATTGGCACTGCTTACGAGACTTTGGAAAATCCCCTCTTGGAAATTACTCATTTAAGAGAATCTTTTGATGAATTATTGAAAGAAGCTACTGCCATTAGTGCAAAGTGGGGAATCGTAAGTCAATTTCCTAACAGTAGAATCAGGAAAGTAAAGAAGCACTTCGATGAGTTTTGCGAGGATGAGAGGTTACTAGATAACAAAGAAAGATTTAGAGTGATGGTATTTTACCCAATGATTGATATTATAATTTCTCAGCTGGACTGAAGGTTTACAGGCATGAAGGCAGTCGTGGAGTATAGAGTAGTACAACCCTCCTTCCTTGCTAATGCCTCTGATAACGACTTACAAAATGAAGCCAAGAAGTTTGCTGAGACTTTTTCAGATGATGTTTAGCAAATGTTTACTGCCAAAATTATCTCAGTAAGATCATCATTCAAAAATCAAATAACCAAAATGACTTCTGTAAAAGATTTGGCAGACTTGTTATTTGTAAAGCACAGCTCATTAATGTCTGCTTACCCTGATGTTGGTACAGCCTGTTTAATGTATCTTACTATTCCAGTTACAGTAGCAAAAGCAGAGCGTTCTTTTTCTAAATTGAAAATAATTAAAAATTATTTAAGAACTACGATGAGTCAGGATCGACTAGCAGGTTTGGCACTGCTATCAATCGTAAATGAACGAGCTAAACAAATAGATATTTCTAAGCTCATTGATATTTTCTCAGAAGAAAAATCTAGGAAAAAGTCATTTTAGTAGGTAGTTTTGCAATGTGATAGGATTTAATAAAATGGTTAACCCTAATTATGTTTAAAACAAACTGTATTAAACATTTGTTTAAAATATGTTTAAAACAACTTATTTATTTTAAACTAGTTTAAAACAAATATTTAAAACAGTTTGTTTATTTTAAACTGTGTTTTTTTTAACATTTTCTTGACTTTTTTAATTTTCAATAATAATATGTACCACAATTTTACTACATGCTTTTTTTAACTTTACTTATGGGCCCTTGCCCCGGGGCCTCCACACGCCTAGTTACGCCTCTGTAAAGATGCCGTTTTTAAAAAGTTTTAATTCGAATAGGCCGTTGTTGCCTCTTTAAGAAATGCGAGTAAATTTTTTCATTTCTACCCACTTGGAGCTCAGTCAATTTGACTCTTAGCTCCAGCATATTTTGGTAAAACATTTTTGATTGATGTTGAGTTATTTGTTATGTCTTTGAGTGGTGAAAAGTAGACCTTCTCCATCTGCTAGCGCCAGCGTGTTAACAGTTGGTTAGTAGGATGATGCAAAAAATTTTTTTTTTGAATTCTATGCGAGACCACTCGGGTTTTCAAAGAGTATCAAGAAAATAAAAATCTGTAAAAATTTGAGAGAAATCAATTAAAATTTAGAGGTCGCTCAACGCAATTGTTTAATTTAGAAAAATCACGTATCTCAAATGCATTGCTATAAACAAGTAGGCATATTTCATACAAATTTGAATGAAAATGGTTGAATTTTTTTTTGGTGGACTCTTAATGATTATTCTAATAAATAATGTTGTCCCGATTTCAAAAAATTGTTCATAATATTTAAAAAATATATATTAATTAGCAAATATAGCTTAGTTAACAAATAATTCATTCAATTTTTTTTTGTTTCAAAATCTGTAAAAACATTGTTAATAGGTCTACAAGCAATTATTCATTTACAAAAACACTCGCCCCATCGTTAAATATGAGAAAAAAAATAATATTTTAATTAACTACACTTCGCGTCAAATTTAACGCACCACTAAAAGTTTGTCACATTTTCAAAGTTGATTTTCTCGCGAACCGTCAAACCGAATTTAGTGATTTTTATAATAAATTGTAGGGTTATTCTTCGGTAATAATGCGTTTATTAAAATATTTTTTAAATTAACATTTTGAGTATATACAGGGTGCAAGAGTGATAATAAGTTTTTTCCCGGAAATTTAAAACGCCCTGTGGATTGTACCAGCTATAACAGCATATGTATCTTATAATCAAACTATAGCCACATCTTCTCTTAACATTTTGTGATTTACCGCGTTATCTTTATTTTTAAATGAAATATACAGTTAAAGATTAAAGAACTCCAGTTTAATACAAAAATGTAAAAAGAACGATTGTAACAATAACAACAAAAATATTAACAAAATCAATAAAACCAACATTAAAGAATGTCAATATCGCGTATTTCTGCCTCTACTTCTAATTACGGCTTCACATCGACGGCTCACACTCGAAACCAGATGTCTAATTTCGTCTTGATTAATGACATTTCATATTTCTCGTAGCATATTTGCTACGTCATCAAGGGAGGCAGGCAAGGGATCATGATTTCTTAGTCGTCTACCCATATTATCCCACAAATGCTCGATGGTGTTGAGATCCGGACTATTTGCAGGCCAGTCTAAAGTTTTAACACCCACCTCATGTAAGTACTCTGGCACTATATAGCATTATCCTGCATCAGTAAAAAATTATTACCGGGCGAAAGGGACAACATGCTCAAATAAAATGTCCTCGATATATATATTTAATCTTTGAATGTATATTTCATTTAAAAATAAAGATAACCCGGTGAATAAAAATACAAAATGTTAAGAGAACATGGGGCTATAGTTTGATTATGAGACATATGCTGTTATAGCTGGTACAACCAACAGGGCGCTTCAAATTTCCGAAAAAAAACTAATTATTACACTTGCACCCTATATATACTCAAAAAGTTAATTTAAAAAAATATTTTAATAAACGCATTATTACCGAAGAATAAACCTACAATTTATTATAAAAATCACTAAATTCGGTTTGACGGTTATATATGTATATACTAAAAACTTAAATTTAAAAGAATTTTTTAATAAAGGCACTACCAAATTCGGTTTGACGGTTCGCGAGAAAATCAACTTTGAAAATGTGACAAACTTTTAGTGGTGCGTTAAATTTGACGCGAAGTGTAGTTAATTAAAATATTATTTTTTTTTCTCATATTTAACGATGGGGGCGAGTGTTTTTGTAAATGAATAATTGCTTGTAGACCTATTAACAATGTTTTTATAGATTTTGAAACAAAAAAAAATTTAATGAATTATTTGTTAACTAAGCTATATTTGCTAATTAATATATATTTTTTAAATATTATGAACAATTTTTTGAAATCGGGACAACATTATTTATTAGAATAATCATTAAGAGTCCACCAAAAAAAAATTCAACCATTTTCATTAAAATTTGTATGAAATATACCTACTTGTTTATAGCAATGCATTTGAGTTGCGTGATTTTTCTAAATTAAACAATTGCGTTGAGCGACCTCTAAATTTTAATTGATTTCTCTCAAATTTTTACAGATTTTTATTTTCTTGATTCTCTTTGAAAACCCGAGTGGTCTCGCATAGAATTCGCATCACCCTATTGGTCAGGTTTGAGAGTTTTAATTTAATTTGAAATTTTTACCAGAATATGTGTTTTTGTTAAGTGTTGTGGGTAGGGCTGGGAGAAGATATCGATATATCGATTAAAATATCGATATATCGATATATCGATATATCGACTACTTTTTTAACCTAAGACAAATATCGATTATTCGATATATCGACTATTCGATATATCAAATAGTCAATATATCGAATAATCGATATATCGAATAGTCGATACATCCTATTATCCTATTATTCTCCTTTTTTTGTTATTTTTTGGGATTAATCCTCTTTTCAACTATGTTGACGCCTAACTCCTTACAAGGTGTGGCTGAAGGCTTGTCTGTTTCACATTTTTGTATGGTAATCATAGCAAAATATTTTGGAGTAGGCTACATAATAATTTAATTTGAGGTGAATGAACATACATGTGTTTACAGATTGGTTATTTTGCAGGGAGGTTGGCTGTTTGAAATTAAGGGGAGTATGTTCAGTTGACCAATCTTTGGGGTGGTAGAATTTACCTGAGAATGGTTATATGTTAAGTGTGCCCTGGTTGAGGCTTAGCCGGGGTCCCAGTTGAGGTAGCCTCGGATTCCTTGATATAACCGTCGTGAAGAGGAGTCATAGTTTGTGATATTACTGGCGATTTGATTTTCGTTCAGGCGTGCTCTATCTGCTGTGTTGGTGATAAATTTGCGCATGTGGTCATTGAACGTCTGTAGTTTGAGGTCGTTTCTGAATATTGAGTTCCGGACAAACCATGGGGCACCAGTGATGTGTCTTAGGTATTTGTTCTGCAGAGTGTCCAACTTTTTGAGGTGGCAGTTTGCAGCAGTGCACCAGGCTGAGCACGCATAGGTGAGAATCGGTCTGATGGCTGTCCATATAAGTCCATATAAGTCTTCGATTTTTTATGTTCATTTTGCTGGAGAGGTATGTGAGTGGTCGCAACATTTTTAGGCAGTTGGTGGCTTTTGTTATGGAGTTTTCAATATGGAACTTTTATTTGAGCTTCCTATCGAATGTTAGGCCCAGGTAAGTGGCCTGGTTGAGCCAGGGGATCGGATTTCCTTCGTATTCTAGTCTTTCAGGTGATGCGCAGCCACCCTTAAAGAAATGTATGGCTTGCGTCTTAGATGGATTGATGTTAACGCGCCAGCGATTTGCCCAGTTTTCTAGTTGGTCGAGAGCGATTTGTAGTCTATGTTTTAGGACATTGTTGTTACGGTGTCGAATGAAGAATGCTGTGTCGTCTGCGTATAGTGCGAGTTCTA